CACTCAAATGGTTAAAGACATATATCTTCAATAAAAAAATCGAATATTTAAACTAAAAAAATATATGTTGAAGAGCTCCATTTGCCGCCCCGATTGAATTGAAATTTTGATAGCATATCGGTAATACAAGAGATTATAATTTGAATGATTGAGATATTTTCTTATAGTAATTTACTCTCAGATTACCTCCAAAGAAATGCTGGGCCTTGCCTAGCCCTTGGTCATGGGCTTTTTGAAGTGATATTTTTCCAACTTAATTATCTTTTCCAATTAGCTTGTTGAATTGTTAGAAGTTATTTATCTTGAGGTGTTCTATATTTCTTGTTCTCTTTTTCAAACTACAAATAATTTTTGTAACCCATTATTGTCGATGGTGAAAATTTTTTACTATAGCGAAGTAGGTTTTTACTTTTCATTTTTCAAAGATTTTTTTTTTTTTTTCGCATTAAAAATAGGGGCTTGTTTCATAATTGTTCGTAATTAAGAGGAACAGTTAATCATATTTAAGACGTGTTTATCACATCAAAGGTGAGAACATATATTTAAATTCTATTTCTAAATTTGTTTTCTTTTAATTATGTTTAATAATAACAACAGTAATAAGAAAATGAGAATGAAAACCATATAAAAGCTATTAGTGGAATTTGTTACGGATGAAATTGAATCATTCCATATATGCCAATTACCATGGAGTCATGCTTGACTTTTGGCTTTTATAGAATGTTTGAATTTTAATTATTTGCACTTCATCATTTTAATTATGTATGACTTTCTATCTATTTTTCATTTTTCTTTGAATGCATAAAAATATTTGGATGTAGTAATCTCCATGTGAAAAAGTAAGTCTCTAAATATGTTATGTTTAATTTTTTACATTTTTAAATTCATCATTTTATGAATTTTGATTATTTGATTATAAATACATTTTTTTTTTCATTTTGGGTAAAAATATTGTTCAACTTTAGGTTTAGTTGAAAATTTTATTTCAAATCAATTGTTAGGCCGATAATATATAATTCAATAAAATGGAGTTTTCAAATAAGTTCATGACATATGTTTATGATATATATAAATTTATCATTCAATATTTGTTATCCATAAAAAAAAAAGATATTAAAATGGTAAACAAATAAAATATGTTGTATTTACTTTTTAAGTTGGGTTAATTATAAAATAAATAAAATTTGATATTTGTACATTTTGAGGTATATATCTCAACCAATAAGTCATAAGTCATGAGTTTTGAATGAGAATATAAAAGGAGAGAAATAAGTGAAAATGCAAAACATAATGAAATGATAAATAAACTAAAAAAAATTACATATAATAGTAATTAATAGGGGAGAGAATGCACAATTAAATCAAGAGAAAGAGTGAGATGCACTCATTTTGCTTCTAAATATGTGGTTCCACATAAAAAAATATATATTTTACTTTTATAATAATAAAGGTATCTTTTACACCGGCAGACTTTAAATGAAGGTAGCATGGAACAAGAGGATTATAAATATTCTCGATGAAATTTGAGAGGATTTGGAAAAAGAGAGAAAAATTTTCTAGTACCATGCGAGTACCTACTTATTTCCTTTGTTCATAACACAATTTTTTTTTTAATAAATAATTTTTTAAGGCTCTAGATTCCACATCATTTTCAAATGTTGTTGATGTGGCACACAATAAATAGCTTAGTAGTATTTATATTAGTATATGAAAATTTCTTCAAAAGGAGAGAGAGAAGCGTCAGCGTCGAGTAATAGAAAAAATGATTCAAATTTTTTCCTATTTGTGTCTCGTATGATTAGGTTAAATAAATCCTAAGTGTAGGTCGGCAAGCATAGCCTATATTTTCTTTTAGAAAATTGTTAGATTATTTTTGCTTGTATTCTTCAATTAAGTTTCCCCTATGCAACAATACCATCTTATATTCTCCAAGTACAAAACCTTCAACATGTTACATGAAAATGAGCTTTAAAAGTAAACCTAACAAATAAGCCCAAATGAGATATGAACACTACCCTATTTTACATGTTTTGATCATTTGTTGTAGTTTATCAAATGAAGATAAGGACAAGAATCCCACAATGAAATTAATTTTGTTAATTATCTTATAAAAAACTTTATACCAAATTTCATTCATGGATCTAAATAATATGACAAATGTGAGTAAACACGACATGTTATCATTTTGTTCAAGAAGTTTTAAATCTAATAAACTTGTAAATTAATCAATTCCTGATCACTCACCAACTTTAAGAAGGCTTACGTCAATTGACGGAGAAAATTTTTAGTTGTCTGAAACTTCCCTACTACCTCCATTTTAAAATGTACCATGTGTAAAGTAATTTATTATTATATAAAAAAATATATTTTTTCTTTCTATGTGGGACGGAGGCCCACATATTTGGAGGCATAATTACTCTATTGTATCTTACTTCCTCTTTCTTGATTTAACTGATACATTCTCTCCTATTAAATATTATTATATGTGGTTATTTATTTTTCTTTTTTAATTTTTTTTTATTTAGGAAATTCGCTCTCTTCAAACTAAATTTGTTCACTTTTGTTTTCATTGTTATTATTATTTTTTTACATCTTTTAACTTTCGTCGAAAGATACGTATGGATTTCAAAAGAACACACGATTTCTAAAAATAAAAAAACACACATATGTACGATTTCTCTATTTCAGAAAAAAAAAACACACATATGTACAATTTCTAAAAAAAAAAACAAACATATGTACGATTTCTATATTTAAAAAAAAACACTCGATCTCTGAATAAGAAAGAATGTTTATTATTTTATTTTGATATTTTCATTTTGTTTGTAATTTTATTTTCAAATAGTTAAATAATTTTTTGTATCTTAATATCATAATTAGATTTTATTTTTGCTATCCATTTTGGAATGCTTTTTATTTATAACTTTGTTTTCAAATAAAAACCAAAACCTAAAAAGTTGACAATTAACCAAACTTAAAAAAGTAAATACAACCTATTTTATTTGTTACCAATTTTGACAAGTAGTTTTTTAATAGACGTACCATTATCAAATAATATAACATAAATAATAGATTTACATAAATTCAGAAATATGTCCAAAACTTATTTGAAAATTCCATTTTATTGAATTATATGTTGTGAGGTAGTCATTGATTTGAAACAAAAGTCTCAACCAAATCTAAAGTTCAACGATATTTTTACTGGAAGACAAAAAAAAAAAGTGTATTTATAATCAAATCTCACAAAATGTAAAGAATTAAAAATGATGAATTTAAAAAATGTAAAGAACTTAGAGGTTTACTTTTTCACGTCGGGATGAATACATCCAAATATTTTTATGCATTCCAGAAAAAATGAAAAGAATGGAATAGAAAATAAAACTGAAAAACATGAAAAATAAAAAATAGATAGAAAAGTCATACATAATTTAAATGGTGAAGTACAAATTGTTAAAGTTCAAACATTCTATAAAAACCAAAGCAAGCATAGCTAACACTAATAAACATATATCTCCAAACAAGAGGTTGTGAGTTTGATCTCATCCATGTATTATCATTATCTATTTTAAATGAAGGTAGTACCATGATCTATTTTACTGAAGAATTGTTATTTACTAATATAAATAATTAGTTTTAAAAAATATTTAATATTTTATTCATAATTTAGTAAAATAGTTAATAAAATATATATTAATTATTTTTTTAAAAAAATAGAATTGGGGTAGAGACATGGAAGAAAATGCATTCCTGGAGAAGTAACCCGACCCTACCGAGATTTTTGTTATTCCTAATGTAGAGTCATGAAAATAAAAGCTCAATTAAATAACATTTTTTAAAGAGAACTTTTAGAGAGAAAAACAAAAAGATTTAGAGAAAATAAAATTTTATTGGGAGAAAAGTTAAAACACAAAGGAAAAAAATGGGGAGAAAGCAAGTAAAGTTGAGAGCAAAAGATAAAAGAAAGAAAAATTATAAAGAGAGAAAAAATTATGGTGAAAAAAATTAAATAGAAAAAATTCGATATATATTTGCTACAGAAAAAAGAAATAAAAATAAAGAAAAGGTGTAGGGAAAGAAAATTGAAAACAGAAAATAGATTGAGAAAAATTAGAGATATTTGCTAGAGAAAAAATAAATTAGAAAGAGAAGAAGAAGGTTAAAAAGAAGACAAAATTTTATGGAGAGAAAATGTTAGGCAAATATTAATCATTTTAGAAAGAAAAGTGTGAATGGAAATTTTAGAGGGAGAGATAAACTTTGTAGTAAAAAATTGGGTTAAGAGAAAAATTTAGAGTGAAAAAGAAATTTGTTGGGAGGAAATATGCCAATAAAAGAAACGGAGCATTATAACAAAAAATGAGATTTTGAAAACAAAAACTCCTTTTTAAAAACTATGAATCCATTTCCTCTCAATTAACTTTAGTCGATTTGGACCAATGAACCATCATATGGTTTAAAAAAGAGATATACTCCATAAATTTTGCACCTCGAACAACATGTTACCTTACTTCCGAGGCAACCTATTCCAAACATTGCACACCAAATACCTCCTTAAACTAACTAAACTCAGGTTACCTAAACCCAACCCATATTCCAAACACAGTTTTTGTTGATATAGTTTTATTAGTTTAGATATAATTTGATTTTTAATCAAGCAAAAAATTCATCATCCAAATGGTAGGGCAAGAAATAATATAAATATAACTTATCCAAGAAAAAATATATATATATATATATATATATATATATAAAGAAATAAATGTGATTATTAAACACAAACACGTGACACGTGGTGGGGCCAATTGGCTGATGTGTCAATACTCTAGTGGTCATCTTACCTTCAGCTCAACGAGAAAGAGAAACAAAAAACGGGCAACAATAGAGAATTTTAATCTATTTTTTCTATTATTTTCTTTAAAATAAAAATAATTAAATAAAAACAAATAATTAATTAATTTCCATATTTGTTCCTTCTTCTTCTTCTTCTTCTTCCCCAAATTTCCAATCTGTTTCTTCATCCCAAGTCTTTCCTCTTCCTTTCCTCTTCGACGGAGACTGCCGCTCAACTCCAAAACCTACCCACCCACCGCCGCCGCCGTCGCCGTTGCCGTTGCCCGATTCTTCTCCCAATCGCCCGTGTTACTACTCTGCTTCCGACATTATTTTGGATTACAGCAATGGTTTCAGACTCGGAGCTCATCGGTCGGCTCCGGGAGTTTCTTAGGAATTCCGACCTCAATACCACCACCACTACCATCGTCCGCCGAATGCTCGAGGAGGAATTCAACGTTGATTTGCTCGATAAGAAGCTGTTTATTAGGGAACAGGTGGACTTGTTCCTCCGGACTGAGCACGAGGCGGCCGAGGAAGCTGACCAGGAGGATGGAGACGGAAATTTGAAGACGGAAGAAGAGGATGGAGATAGTGAAGACGGAGAAAACGACGACGACGATGATGAAAAGGGTAAAACCAGGTGAGTAATTCACCAATTTCTTAATTTATAAAAATTGTGATTTTCAGTTCAGTTTTTGGTGAAGAACTCTAATGCTTGTTTTCGTTTTTGCGAGTAATTTTGGTTCTAGTACTAGAGCGAACCGACAGTAATTTGATTTATTTGCATACTGAAATCAGTGGCAAGAATGTAAAAATCATCAACGCCGAATCATTTATCCACAATTGTGATTATGTGTACTTGCAAATTCCTAACCATAATCGAATCATTATATAGATTCTAATTTGTTTTGGTATTGCAAGAATTTGGGTTTCTTTTTTTTGTTTTCCTCAACGAATTCAACGTCCTCAGTCAATTGAAAGTTGACATTAAGGGGAAAGCCTTCTTTTGACGATTTTCTGGATTTCGTATTACGGGCATAACGCTAAGATTCTATTAGTCCAAAATTCTGATAAGTTATTGATGTGGTTGTGTTCATTACAACAAGTGCGACGAGTGTCTTGTTTTAGTATTGCACCCGTAGTGATGTTATTCTGTGCTCTATTGATCAGACATTCACAACCGACGTTGGTATACTTCTTTGGTTGATTTATTTCAGGAATCTATTTTCTTAGGACTTATTGATTTTGAAACTAAGAATGTTTTGCAATAACTGAGATAATCTGTTTTTATCTGAACAGGTCTCGGTTAATACCGTGTTCATCATTTTTGTGGATCGCATTTCCATCCAGATCAATCTTCATATTTAGAACAACTCATTCCTGCAAAACTGACTTCAGTTTTCAAAATTTTTAACCAAACCCCATCCTACCTATAAGTTTCTTTCTTGTTTAGGCTACCCATATTAATAAGCAAAATAGCTGGAGATTGTCTTCAAGAAGTGTCTCGGGGGTTTCTTTTCTCGGATCAACCCCTATTCTTGCTATCTTCTTTCCATTTGTTTATCCTCCTTCTGTTCTGCCATGTTTCTGGCTAAACAGTAATTTTCTGGGAAATGCTCCAATTGTGCCAACTAGGTCAAGTTCGTTTCCATTACTTCTTCTTATTATTATTTTTACTTTTCCTTTGTATAACTGGATTTTTAAACATATTTTTTTACTCACATTTTGTTCAACTTATACAATTCTGTTGAAAGGATTTTGAAAAATGGAATGAGATTTTACTTTTCTGTATCTCGTTCTATTAAACAAGTTAACATTGTCCCTGCAAAGCCACAACTTTCCTTTAGTTGTCAAATTTTTTTTTGGCTGAGAGTTTCAATCTATCTTTGTTGCTTCAGAATATAGGCAATTTCATCTTATTTTAGGTCTAAGAATTTGTAGTTCAACCAATGTTGAAACACATTTCTTTTCTTATACCAGTTGCTCTTCAAGGTGTTTGTATTTTCAGTAATAGTTAATATGTCACGAGTGTATTTATTGGAGCATAGTCTAATAATGGGTTGGCTATCCAAACATAGAATGACATTTTCTCTCTCTTGCCTCTCTATCTTGTTTCTTTCTTTCTTTTTAAACTGTGAAATTGGAGTTTAAGCATGAGTACTGCCATGGAGTTTAGTAGTTGAAGTGTGGACAATATATTTTTCTTCTCCTTTTTTCATTAGATTAGTGAGTAACTCTTTGGGATTCATATTCAAGTTGAGAGAAAAGAGTCCTTTTGTATTGCAATGGTTAGAAACAATCTTTGGTATAGCTTTTTCAAAATCCTCTGAATAATAAATTCTTCAAGGATAGGTTCAACAATTAAATGAGCTGGATGCAGAAAGTTGTAAATCAGTACGGGTTATGCATTGGAATTAGTACTTCGACTGATGGTGGAATCGAAAAAATAATAATTGTTGGAGCTCATTGATAATTAGAAGATTACATATCGAAGGGAAAATTCAAGAGCTCCTGTTCTGTTCTACGTATCGGAATTAAGTCAAAAGCCAAAAAGATATCCCTCATCTATATAGTATGTAAACACGCTGACTCACACATTACTCATGCTTACACCATACATAACTACATGGGCTCACCACCCTTATCAACAACTTTTTTTTTTTGTTTCCTCTTTTTATGAGAACTGAACAAAAGAACAAACCTAAGGGGCTAAAAAAATAGCCTAAAATAGCCCAAGACTGGGGCAGCCCCACAACTAGCCATACAAAAAAGGGGCTTCAATCCAAAATATTGAAACCTAACAGACAAAATTAGTACAAAAATGCTCACACACTTGACCGCCCATTTAATTCTCTTTCTATGATACAACCTAATTATTAGGGGCCTAACATTACATTGCCCCCAAAGAGCCACCTTGTCATGAAGATGGAAGTTTGTAAATTGGGTGGTAATCCTTGTGGTGGGTCCATGGTAGCTACTTCCCTGCATACCAACACCTTAGTGTTGTCTGAAGTATCTTGAGTGGAGCACACCCGTAGGATCTCAGGAGGTTGTGATGTTAATACCATATCATCGACAGATTAAAAGGCAAGGGAATTAAAGGAAAGATATGACCAACAACCTTACACAATTGTGAAACATGAAATATTGTGTGGACTGAAGTAAAAGCAAGCTAGATGCCAATATGTAAGCCACTCACTCAATTCTTTCAATCATATGGAAGGAACTGAAAAAGGATGGAGCCAATGTAGCATTCCCTCATTGAGCTAAGGCCTTTTGTCTATGGGGTTGCTACTTTATATAGACCCAATCACAATAGCAAATTCGACCTCATGCCTCTTTCCATTGCAATTGAGATCATTTGTTGTTGGGCACGTTGCAAATGAGATTTCAAATTCATGTAGCATGTTGTCTCTATCCTTTAGCTGGGATCCACCTCAGCCACAAGTGTAGCATTTGCTGCGTACAGTGGAATATTAGGGGAGGTGGATGGGGAGGGGAGGGCACGTAGACAACTTATGGGGTTAAGTTTGTAGATGTATGGAACAAAGTTTATAGAAAAACTTAGCCCAAGTTAGCTGCCCATTGTAAACAACAAAAATATGTTTCCCAAGTTTGATTGACAACCTACATCTGTCCATCCATTCAGGGAATGGTATAATATGCTTCTTAGTTGTGTGCCCTGACATGAGAATAGCTCATCCCATAATAGACTAGTGAATATCATAGCCTTAAGAGCGCCTTGCAAACATATGGGCTCCCCATAAAAATTTGAGTTATTGAAGGAGCTGAAACCAGATGTTTCTTGGAGAGCTGAAACACAATTGATAGGATTTAAAGAAATGTCATAGTTTGTCTTTAAATCCGAGTTTCTTTTTATTATGCCTTAATGTTGGGGAGAATTTTCATAATTTGTTCTTTCGTTATTCCCGTGTCAGAAACTTTTAGGAGACTTTGTTTCAAGGTTTCTTATTTCAAGGCTAAAAACAATATTTTTAATTTACTTTGTGGCCAACTGGCCGCGGTCTAAGAGGGAGAGAAAAAGTTTACGGATCAAAAGCTGCTAAATTTGTGGTGTGGGCATTTGGTTTGACATGAATCACCTATTATTTGAGAACAATTGAGTTCCTTGGGTCAGACATAATGCTTAAGTAACATACAACCCTACAAGGTCCAAAGGGGTAAGGGTTAATTGAGAGGAAATGAGTTTAAATCCCATGATGGTCACCGACCTTAGGAATTAGAAATTTTTATATGTTTCCTGGCACCAAATGTTGTAGGGTCAGTTGTCCCGTGAGATTAGTTAAAGTGCGTGCAAGTTGGCCCGAACACTCACAGATATCAAACATACAACTCTACGAGTGCTTGTTTCAAAGACTTGAAATTATTCAACTTCTGAAATTAATTCTTATTCGGGCAATTTTTTCTTTCTTTCTTTTTGTTTGTTTGTTTGTTTGTTTTTTTTTGGTTATTCTCTGATCAGACAGTGTTTTTAGCTTTAGTGAGGGAGTTGCTTTCCAGTAGCAGGAACTTTCTTTCCTGGTCTGTTTTATTGGTTTGGGGGTTTCTAGTTCTACTCTAAACTCTGAAGGGAGTTTTAGTTTGTAACTTTTCAAATATCAATCAAAAGTTTGTGTTTCTTAGAAAAAGCAAAAAGATTGAATCAAAATTTTTATTTGAGACCATCTTTGATTAAAAAATTATTGTTCTTGGCAATGTAGTTCTAACAAGCTTAGTAAAGAGGTGAAGAAACGAGGTGGTGGTTTTAGCAAGCTGTGTAGCCTTTCCCCACAACTGCAGGAATTTACAGGAGTTCCTGAAATGGCAAGGACTGAGGTACATCTAGAAAGTAATTTTTGACCCCTTTTTCAGTCTTCCCAAATAAACCAGCAGAGATTCGTTGTTGTCTTTTTTATTTCATTCTAATAAAATTGTTGCTATCTTTGTTATAGGTTGTGAAGCAACTATGGATCCACATTAGAGAGAATAATTTGCAAGACCCCAGTAATAGGAGAAATATTATCTGTGATGAACCATTGAAAGCACTCTTTGGTGTTAATTCCATCAACATGTTTCAAATGAATAAAGCTCTATCAAAGCATATTTGGCCTTTGGAATCAAATGACGGTGTGCTTTTATAGCTTTAATTTTGTTGCTAATTATATGTTACTGTTTTCTCTGATGTTTGGCCTTTTAGTTGAGTGTTCTTCACCGTTACTCTTAATTGTTAACTAAGCAATTTCTTTGAGTTAATGCTTGATGTCAAACTGCTTCTATGGAGCCTTAACTGATATTTCAATATTGACTCTTGGGTTTTTTGGCCTTTGACTTATATTATATTCTTGTTATCATTATAGGCACAAGGACATGACAAACAAAATGCTCTTATTTTCTTATGAAAGAAAGTTTAGGTTTCCATGCACCTTGCTTAATGGCTAATGTCACAAGCCCATAACTTTATTTTGATGACACTGAGCGACAAACCTTATTTCACATTTTTTGACATGGATGCAGTTATTCCAGCCAAATCAAGTCAGAAGGAGCAGCCAAAGGAGAAGCCCCAGAAGAAGCGGCAAAAGCAAGGAAAGGAAGAGATGCCAAAGAAGAAGCGGCAAAAGCAAGCGAAGGAAGGTGGATAACAATAATAGTTATTTTTATTCGAATTCTATGATTTTGTTCATGCCAAGAAACTCCCTTTAGGAGTACTACAACAAAGTACCAATAAGACTTCTAGAATAATTATACAAATGCACCTCAATAAGAATTAATGACATTAGTGCGATAAAATCTAAATTGTTCGGATAAAGTAATACCAAAGCTGCATAGGATCTCTCTTCCTTTGTCTTTGAAGATCCATTGGTTCTTCCCAACGACCCAACCATATGCCTCAAAGAGCTGGTTTGACCCCATTAATCCATAACAATTTAGCACATCTCTTCATGGCATGGCCACATGACAGTGCCCCATAACAGTGCGTTTGTATTGCTTGTAGCTCCCATATTGAAAATCCAAGAAAAACCAAGGCTGAATAGTGAACACAGAATCCCAAGTAAACCATTAAGGGTTTCTTATGCTTTTTTGCATAAGCAGCACCGACTTGGACAAATTGGTGCATAGGGGCACCTTTCCTGCAATCTTTAACCTGAATTTAGCCCTTCCAAGTACATTAACCAGACCAAAGCATTTGCTTTTCTGGTCACTGAGACTTTTTTATAGCATCACCAAGATATTTTAGGAGAGGACCCCATGTCAATTCTTTATTCAAAGATTTCATTGATGATTTGTTAGGCCTTCTATAATGAGTGTATATGAGAGAAGGGGAAAACTGGAAAATGTATTTCAAAGTCAGTTAGAATAGACTGCGTGTGTATATGTAGGATCGGGTGGTAAGAGTGAGGTTAGGATTTTGTGAGTAGCATGCGTAGGAGAGAGAAGCTGATGCTCTCAAATTGGCTCAACAAGGCAAGTCTTCTATGGTGCTATCTTTTTACCTCTATTCTGAATTATAGTAATCTCAATGTTGGTACCTATAAGAAACCTAAAGCGTTCAACACCCAAATTTTTTTTTATCTTCGCTTCTATTTGTAGAAACTCCCTCAATCATCTGAAGAAAGCACAAAAATCTTATAGCTGCTATTTGTGAGAGTTCTCTTTTCGCTTTTGTGCCTCGAGAGAAACAATAGTTTTCAACAATAAAGAAAAGCATTTTGTCTTTGTGTTTTATGGACTATAATACTTTTGTAGCTCCTTTTCGGTGTAAAATTTATGCCCCTTCCGATACTTACAATTCAAATTTTCTTTGTGCCATTTAGGAGAGTTCCTTTGTAACTTCCTTGAATTGAAAATTTTGACTTTCCTCTCTTTACTATTATTATTTAAATTTTTTTACTATCTATGAAACTTTTTCTCACTGTTTATCTTTGTTCCTCGAAGTTTGACTAGGAGGGGTAAGCTCCAAATCCAAGAGGTATTGAACCGTTAAAGATGTTACTCTAAAAATGAAGAGATGGTTAAGATCTTCACCATGCTTTTTCACTTGGTGTATCATTTCTGGTACACAGAGAATGAATGCTTGCAATCTGTCATTTGTGTTTAATTTTTTTAGAAAAAGAGGCCATAAGAATATTTTGATCTTTTTGGTAATTTTCCTTCTTCAAATGCTCTTAGTAACGTGTCTAGTAATTGCCGATTAGGAGCTTGCAAGGTAGAGAAAAAGGGACTTACTCGACCTTTTTCAAACTCCAAAGTCTTTTATCTTCCCTTGGGGATAATCTGGAGGTACTGATTTTTTTGCAAAAGGTCAAGGAAGTGAGGTATTTCCCCATCCTTTAGGTTTCTCGTGAAAACCAAAATTTAAGCCAAGGTATCTGTATGCCAACCATTGGAAATTGTTCTATTTAAACCCAAAAAAAAAAAACACTGAGAAAGTAAAGTTTATTAATTAAATATTGCAAGTCCAATTATCCATATTTATTAACCAAAAAATGGAAGTTTCTTTGTTTGCACCCGCTATATGAACAAGCATAACCAAGATGATTTTCTTTCAATGTTTTTCTAGAGAGAATTTGAGTCATCCAAATTCATGTTGATGGCATGATTAGAACTACATCTCCTCTTAAAATCAAATGGGAAAGGATATTATCCTTTAATTAATTGCCCAACTTAATTGCTTCAGAATGAATTAGAACGGATCTACATTTTTAAAATTAAACTCTTTCCAGTTTACAGCTAACTGAAGGTTCTACTCATATCTGGTAATCTTCTTTTTTTTCCTCCAGACTCAGATGAGGCTGCAAGAGAGGAAAAGCAGCAAAAGAAAGGGAAATCAGGTTTTCTTGCTCCGCTTCCACTTTCGGATGCTCTGGTGACCTTTTTTGGTACAGGAGAAGATGCGTTATCTCGCGCTGAAGTTGTGAAAAGAATGTGGGATTACATAAAGCAAAACAACCTTCAGGTACTTGGCCTTTGGAAAGATTCTTTGGTAGTATGGTATCGCTATATTTCTGCAATGCATTTGTTTGTTCACTATGTATTATACTAAGTTTCTCATCATGGGAGGATGTGATAATCTTTCCTTTTTTTAACAAGGGTTTTCTTAATGAAAGTTCTCTTATAAAAAAAAGGGGTGCAAAATTCCTCATTGCTGTCTTCTTTTGGATCTTCCAGTGGGATATATATATATTTTCAGAGGAAACAAGCATTTCATTGATGGTATGAAATATCACAAGAAGGTAAAGAACCCTAAAAGTTTGGTAGCTACAAAAAAGCTCTCCAGTTCAAAAAAAAGATCATCGAGACTGTAATTTTGAAAATAAGAGTAAATTCGTAAGAGAGGTGTTTGTTGTTGAAGAGTCTGTTGTCCCTTTCTATCCAAAGGGTCAATAGGAAAGCTTCGACGATATGGGCCCAAAGGTTTCCCTTCTCCTTCTTGAAAGGGTGGCCATCGAGAAAAGGGCATGGAGAAGGAAGATCAGATTCCCATGAATAGGAGAACAATGGATATTCATTAATATACTGACAATAGAATTTGTTGCTAGCATGTTGGTGAATATGTTAACTGAAAATTGGAGAAGAATTTCAAGAAGCTTATTTCCTATCATTGTTTTATTCCTGATTTTACTGATATTCCACAATCCAAAAGTATGGTTAAAATGAACATTTTTACTAATTTGGTCATGTTCTACGGAGAACTTTTGATTTTTGAAGCTTAAATGAATGTGTAAGAGAAATATCCTTCTTGCGAATATCGATTACGAAAAAGAAATTACATTATGGGTATATATATTTCCATGCTGCATGGTTGACGTTGAACATCTTCTGACATTCTTCTTGATTCTTCATGAAGGACCCTTCTGACAAAAGGAGAATAATCTGTGATGAGAAGCTAAAGGAACTCTTTGATGTCGAGTCATTCCATGGCTTCACTGTTTCGAAACTCCTGGCCCCTCATTTTGTAAAGACAAAATAGTGAGTTTCTTCTACACATCGACCTTTTTGATTCATTAGAATCTATAATTTTGCTTGAGATAGTTTAGTCGCCTCTTCTTTTTGTGTTATTCTCAGGAATTCATCAACGAGGCATTGAAAAAATCTGTTTTATTAACCTTGTCTTATCTCTTTTCTTCAAAAGTTAAAATATGACATGTTTCTGATCACATTCATTTCGAAATCCTTCAGAATCAAATGGAGTAACCATATCAAATCATCTATATGTATATATAACTCTGATGTCTCGTTGGTTCAAATATTGAGTGCAGCAAAAGAATTTAGTTGATTATCAAAATTGTCTCTAGTAGCACAGCTTCAGCAAATCTTTAGCCAATTCTTGGTATGCATTCTGGTTTCTGTCCTTTCATCTTGCAACGTGGCCGTACGCTCTATAGGATTTTCCTTTCTTGTCTTTTTTCGTTGAACAAGGGAGTTCGACCGTTAGAGAAGCAAGTAATATATTGACCAATTGGGTTATGTTCATGTTTGTCGAATTCTCTCTTAATTGAATGTGAGAATTATAGAGGTTATTTTGGTTCGTTCTACATGCACTTTTCAGGGTTGTTTAGTATTTGCAAAGGGGTCCTCCCTCACAAAGATGATCTGTTTTTGGGATTTTTTTACCCTAAGGTTACTGATTTTTTTTCGTTTTTGATAGAGCGAAGTCGTTATATTGATGGGGCATAACTATTGATTTTTTATTTCAGAAAGGGTTGTCAATGATGCATCAACAGTGAAAATTTACGTATTTGTTGCAAATTTTGTTAAATTACAAGTCTAGTCCCTAAACTTTTAAGTTTATGTCTAATAAGTTTTTAAAGTTTAAAAAGTGTTCATAAAACATATTAGATAATAGATCTTTGAGTTTTACAGAGTGTCAAATAAATTTTTTATTTTGTATCTAATAGATTAATAAATTATTGAACTTTTAATTTTTTGTCTAATACTGTATTCATCATTTCTAGAAATTCACAAACAAAATTCAATTACATCATTTTCTAGAAATTCACGACTCTATTAGATACAAAATTCAATTATCTGTATAATAGACAATAGAGGTTTGTAATCCCACTCCAATGTGGCCATAGTTTGGCTCAAAGAAATCTAGTGGCCATAGTTTGAACTCCCAACTTCACCTTACAAAAGGATTCTTTTCCATAGTGTTATTTTGATGGTTGAAAATGGTATAACAATCGAGAGCAAAGAGAAATCTTAATGACGATATTAATATATCAACTATGTCGTGTAGTAATCTAATCAGACTACTACTTGAGAACCACAGACACTTCAGTTTGTTTGGGTAACGTGTTTGACAGGCACTTATTGGACACATATTTTATGCTTGTTAGTTCGATAGATGTGTTTCATACACTAATTATTATATAAAATGAGTATAAATATGATATTTGTTTGGCACATGAAAACTTGTTAAGCATAGAAGCTATATAAAATGAGTATAAATATGATATTTGTTTGGCACATGAAAACTTGTTAAGCATAGAAGCTAGACAATTAATATATGACAAAATAATAAATTTTGAGAGCAAAATACTTTCTTCATAGATACAAGACATTCGTTGTTGATCTAAAAAAGATCTTATCCCTTTCAAACAAAGGGCGTTAGCGGACGTTTTTCATTCTTCACCCGGTCCAACGTAGCGTTTCCAAAGTCAAAGTCAACCTAACCGGTTACCTTTGGAAACGCGCTAAAACAGGCCTCTCTATAGGTTCGCCTTTCTAATCGTTTCGAATATTCTAGTATATAGTTTTAGCCAGATCGTCTGAAGCATGAACAGAATCACCTTTGTTCCGAAGGCCTAGCGAGTTAAGCGAGTTCCTTTTTTTTTCAAAGGAGGTCCTTTTCTTTCTCCGGACCGTCAAACTCGTTTTTTTATGGATTTTAAGAGTAAAATGCATAAACTTATTGAATTTGAATTCTTTCTCGTATAAAAATGGTATATACTTTAATTAAATTTGTATATTTTAATTAACACGTCCATGTCGTGTCTATATCCTAGATTTTAAAAAAATGGCGTATGGTAACGTTTTTATTTTCTTGTTTGTATCCAGGTCTCCAAAATTTGTACCGCATAGATATTTAAAGGTCGTATGGTAACGTTTTTATTTTTTTGTTTCTTGTTTCTTTTGTTTATGTTCTTGTTTTTCGTTTCCTATTTTTTAATAAATGAAAAAATAGTTGCATTTGGTTATTGTTATTGTTTTTTGTTTTTATTTTTTATTATTGAAAAAAATAGAAACATGTTTAAGTAACAATTTCTAGTTTTTCGTTCTCTACAATTTTAATTTTTTATATGAAATATAATTTTTAAAATTAATAATTAAAATATTTATTTTTTAATGTTTATCATAAATTTTATAAATCAAGAAGGATATAATAATGCTTTTATCTATGTTTCTGAAAAAATTAGAGAGGAAAAAAAAACAAAAAAAACTTTATTTCGTTGGCTCCAAAATTTCTACACAATTTTGTAAACGTTTTTTAAAAATGAGAAACGAGAAACAGAAACATTTATCAAGAGAAAAACAAAAAGCAAGAAACGGAAAAGTTATCAAATAAATCACCAACTAGTCGCTATTCGATTGGATTAAGCTCTCCTACTATTGAAATGAGTATATGCTCCCCATTGATGGGCCTAGCAAACTACATTGTTGAACAAACATTTGTTGTTTAACATGCTACAAATGGATGACCAAATGAGAGCTCCACATCTTTTTTTTTTTCTTAATAAAAGTTACAATTTCTCACTTTGAAGAGAACACTAAACAAAACCTTCTTCAGGGGATTGTTTAGTGATTTTACACCTTTTCTTAATGTAATCTCATTGTAATTTAGCCATTTTACTAATTTTCCCTTCATAATGGGTTAAAATAGCCTTGTATTTCACAAATGATGACTCTAATAAATTGACTTCTTGAGTAGTAAAAGGGTTTCATAAAACCATATAATATTATGACCTATTCATGTAGTTCCATTAAAAGGAACGCTGTTTATGACACACCTCATCTAATCCATTAGCTTGATTTTCCCAAGGGGAGGGCCAAATTGAATGGGATAAAACACAAGCACAATCATGTCACTCTAAGCTAGGCCAATACAACCATGTGACCATGACATCGACTTCGGACCATAAAGTAATTCATTAGACGTACAAGTGTTCTCATTAATTTGAAGTGATCGATCATGAAATATTAGTCATTCATTTTAACATATGCAGCCTTGTAAACACTTCGACATGTGCTCCAAGTCAAGGAACCAAATTTCTATGACTACTAATCTCGAGCGTTGCACAATATGAATTCCCAATATATATATATATATATAAGGAGCAATGTACTAACTACTATCCTTTTAATTTTTTTACAGAAAATATTACATTGTATTAAGATAACATAGTTCTTAGATGATCTGGTACTTTTTATTTTATTGTAATACCATGGCTTCTTCTGTGTCGAAAAGAATTGCTTTACATCTTCGATTTGAGCGCAGTGATAATGTATATTTAGGATTAAATTTCCTCATTTAAAAAAAATAATAAATAATATGTAATGCATTTTTTTTTAATACTAAAACCTAGTGAAATGAACTCATTTTAGAAATTTTCAAGCATCCTTATAAATTGAAAAACCATATCCATTTACCAAACAAAATCTTGATTTATTGGCTAGACTAAAATTTTATTTCTCAAGCTTTAACCTAGTTTAAATTTGGTATTTATGTTTTTAAAAGTTTCATTATCGTTTTGTGTCAAAATTACAAAACAAATCCATACCATTAGTGAACGGGTAATAAACTTTCAACACAACTAAATTATTCGTAGATGTGATGAGGGCATAGTGAGCTACATTGGTTCAAAATCAAAATTAATTTGGAGGTTTTAAAATATTATTTTGGTTGAAAAGTAGAAAGAAAAATATTTTACTTTTATTTTGGAGTACGAGTACAATCCATAATAATGTTCGATACAATTTTATAATTTCTTTTAGGGTGGAGACACAAATTTCTATTATCCCTTAATAATAATGACACGTAGCAAGTTTTAACCAAATAATAGGGAGACAACCAAACTTTTAGAAGCACATAGAGCCTAAAGTAAAAATAATATTAAATCATAAGGACTAAAAAGTGGTGTCTTGTTAAAAAAAATAGTAATAATTTAACCTAAATTATTTTTACTTAACCTTCAAAATACATGCTATTCTTAAGGAGCCGTCGTGGAAATTATGGATCCATTTGGTAATGTTTCGTTTCATTTTTTCCTTGTCTCATTTTTTTAATAAATAACATAACTATGTTAGTTAAAAAAGAAATATGAGATAACTCTTTTTTTGTTTCTCGATTTTTAAATTAAAAATGTGTTTTTTATATGAAAATGTCATTTTTAATTTAAAAATTTCTAATCTGGATAAAATAATACTTTTATTTATATTTTAGAATTGATTTGATTGTTTTTAAAATTTGGACCACAAAAATTGGAAGCACTGAGACAAAAAAACAAAAAAAGAAAAAGAAAAATCATTACCCCATAGATTTATCAAATCTAACTTTTGTTGAAAATTTCAAATAAGTGGTTAAAATTTCCATCGATTCTCATCTCTACCACACCTAATAAAAAAGTGGATTCTACTCTATAGATATATATTTTTTTATTCAACCAAAGTAAACTATATATTAAAAAGAAAAAAAAAAGGAAGAACACATCGAAAAATGTAGCCATAGAAACTTCTGATTGAACATTAAATGAAACCAATCACCAAGATTCAAGACCTACCCCCATCTGGATCTACTTGCTAAACTACGTTATTTACTTTTGATTGATTATTATTAAAAATACTAAACATTTCTTTTCCAATGTCAATTTGTTCATTATTTTAAAGTAAGGAAATTGGCCACAGCACATGCATCATCAATCAAACACACATCCAACTCACACACAATCTATCACTTTAATTCACAAAATGCACATCACCATTAATTATTTCAACCCCAATTAAATAATACAAGTCAATTAGGAACCCAATTAAGTTCATGCAAACATCAATTTTTTTAATGGGTTACTTACTAAACAGTATGAACATGATCCATGAAATTCCAATATAGCAACTTAAAGAACAGAAGGAAGAATTTGTTCACACACCCATATTATAATGAAGAAAAACTGACCTCTCCATTGGCTTCACCTTCTCACTTGCTTGCTTTTGCCTTATTTTTATGTATTTTCCTTGGTGATGAACAGCAGCTAGCAGAGGTTATAACAGTAAAGAGAAGAGAGAAGAAAGAAGAAGGGGAAACAGGGAAGATTGTTGAAATGGGAAAACAAAAAGGAACAGTGTTGAAAATTATTATATTCAAAGGAGCCAAAAAGAAGTAAGTGGTAAGACTGTGCACAAAATGAAGGGAAGGGGGGATTGTTTAATTTTGGAACAGAAACAGAAAAATCTCAAAAATGGGATCCACTTATAGTTAATGACTGAGACATGCCTTGGCAGTGAAAAGACAATAATTCCTTTTCCAGGACCCCCTACACCCATGGCCGTATTCAATAAAGAGTTAAATTAGGCTTTCGGCTGCTACCAAATAATATTGCACCATTTGTGAAAAGAAGAAGAAGAAGAAGATCAGTAGAGAGAGAGG